GACTTACAACTAAAGACTGAATGTTTATGCAGATGAATGAATTAATGTTTGAAGAGGTTTGAATTTGGGCATGTAATACAATTGTAACCAATTGGTTTTACAAAATTCAAATATTTATCTTCTTTGTATAAAACAAAAACATTACAATCATTCTAACCTTTTTTCAACAGAGATCAATTTTACTTATCCCTACTTAGTTATGAAATGTAGTCCCAAACTTGGTATTTAGTTTTACATATACTACAATCCTAATAAAAACATCAATTTATTCATTATATCTTAACTAGATGAAAAAAAAAACATTAAAATATAATTTGTTGGTACACATTAAATTCTAAATATTTATTGCAATCATTATCATTTATTAAAAAAAAATTAAGCATCTGATCTAATAATTATCAATAACATGGAATCTAACAAATTATAAATTCTCATGCCGTCAATCCCTCTAGATTGTATTCTCAACACAAATAATCAAAGACATTAAAATCATACATTGTTGACTCAACTATCACTGGCTCATAGGTTAACTTGCATTTATAAAAACTTAGTGAAATTTACACATATATTAACCATTATATCATAAAGCCAAAATATGATTGACATATGAGAAACATTAGTAGAAAACACTAAAATACTGTACAGTACTCACTGAAAAGAAAAACTTTAAATATTTAAAACTATCATTATACAAAAGAAACAGCCCATATGAGTACAATATCCTTCACCATAGGGAAAGGCATTTTAAAATGTGCTTAAAATATCTAATAATATTCTTATTCTCAGGCACTTAAGTTTTGTAACTCCTTATTGACTATATTTTATTTATTTAAAATGTATGCACCTTACACATAGTTACAAACTGTTCTGCACATGATCCCACTTGTACCCAATACATGCATATTTAAATCAGAATTATAGTACTCTGATTAGTAAATATCAAGATGAAGCTAATCAATTTTTTCTCTTTTGCACTAATAACATTCCTGATCATGATTAGAGTTAGTCAAAAATACAGTTGAACAAAAACAACTTTGAACAGTTTCTTCATAAATTTGATCCGCAGATGCAATAACTTATACATAAACTAGAAAAATGTAGTGAAAAATTAAACAAACATTACTGGTTGAATTTAATAAAATCTGTTTCAATTCTTGCTAATTAGGTATACATTATATATTTTATATGTGGATATACAGATGTATCAGAGAGGACAGAACAACATCTAACATTCAGGTTTGCAACATGTTTAAGTCTAATCTTTACTGGAAATGTACAATTACATATGCTTATATTCCAACCAGAGGCAAATTTTAGTTTTTAATGGAAAAATGATTGTAAAGAATAAAAGAATAAAGAATAAAAATGAACATTAAAATTTTGCTAAATTATTATAGATGGTTTACTCCAGGTATATTTCTTAAAATTTAAAGTCATATAACTAATAACTTCATTTACATTACATATTCTTTTATTTTAGTAAACTCAGTTAGCAAAAGGTTTTATTTAAAAAAAAAAAAAAGATCATGCTAAAGTTTAGTTATTTTTTTTAAAGTATAATTTTATTAATAATTCTAGGCTTGACTCTTCCTATGGCAGTTATCTCCCTTCCTCTTGAATAAAATTTTAACCAAATGGTGTCCTTTGAATTTCTACAATTAATAAATAAAATAGAATAAAAAAAAAAATTACTTTATGTGCACAACAGTGAGCAGCTTAGTAATTGAAATGTCCATCCATCCTGCCTTTTTAATTTTTTTTAGAATACCGATAAGAAATATTTCCCTTTCTGAAATCGATCTAGTTAATTGAAACTCCTTTTGTATAAAAATTGTCTTATGTATTATACAGTTTCTCTTTCATTTGTAAACCAGAAGTTTTCTGTGAACATTATTGAAATTCTCTCAGCTACCTTTGTTATTGAACATTTGACATTACAGTTAAACTGAAATTTTGTTAGGAGCTGGTCTAAATCCAAAATCTTATCCAATGGTAATATAAGGATAATTAAATACCATCTTTGAATTTGGCATAATTTTGAAGATATTGATCCAGCTGATGAAGAAGTCTTCATTTCACATAGACACACAAATACAAAGGTACTATTTAAACAAAGTTTGATACTTAAAATCTAAGCTTTAAGCTAACTTAATTATGGATGTATGGTTTAAATAATTACTTTGCTAAAAGTTTCATATGTATGCTTAAATGAACTGGTATTATGTTATTTCTTTGTTTGAAATTCTCATAGTTTAACAGCTGAAGTAGAATAGACGCTAGAAAAAAATAATGATGTTAAAAGTAATGACAAAATATGTATACAAAGATGGGGCCAAAGTCCACAGAAGAAGAATTTTAGTTTGAATTCTTCACCTTATAATTCTAAATTGATATGATTAATGTAGAAGTGCTAGGTTAAGCACATTGACAGGAAAGGAGATTGTGCAGAGAAATGAATATGTTTTGTGTAAAATATGTCTTTTTTATTAATACAAACTCATTGATATACCAATATAACAATTAAAATTTCAAAACAAGTCAATGACATCGCTTTGAAAGAAAACTTATTCCCATTTAGAAATTGAAATAGCTACTGCCTTATTGGTTACTGAACCACCAAAAACCTGAAAACAAATTCCAAACATCAATCTAATTGAATTACACAATTTTAATTTCTATTTAATATATTGATTTTTACAAGGGAAGCAACTCTTGTAGAGGGTTGACATCCAATTTTGAATACTATTAGTAAATTTTGGTTTCTTGAATACATTAAATGCAGATGACAGAATTTCCATCGTTGCAATTCAATGGCACAAGTGTAAATAAAAGTAATAACTGCTATTTCATATGAAACTGTTAAAACAGTATCTTTGCACACTGTTATTTTCTTGTAAATCTTGAATATTTTGTTGAATAGCAGATTACCTAATAGCAGGTTGACAAATGACTTGGGCAAACAAAATTGACTTTTCCAGCATTTCCATGACCAAATTTTACAAAATTCCCGACTATTTTTTACCATGTAAATTACCTCAAATCCTCATGTTATTTGTCGACATCCATTGACTTAAAGGACAGTATTTTTAGTCCCACTCTGTAGGGCTCAAAGTAAATTAATAATCTATTTGACAGTTGGAGATATATTGACTACTTTACAGCTTTATGATCATATAGTTTTTGAAGATTCTATGGATTACAAGTAAATCAACATATATTAAAAATTATAAGGTTGTCAATGGCAAGAAAGTCTGGCTTAAAAATTTGCAGGAAGTTTCCTGATTTTTCCCCAATTTCCAGTTTTCCCTGGCTCAATGGGTACTTTGAAGAGAAATTTCGCTAATGTTAAAAAATAGTTAAATATCCAAATATTTAAAATTAATAAAAACTTAAATTTTTCAACTAAAAAAGAAACTATACTTTTCACAAAAGTTCATTTGGGCATAATTTAATGCTTACCATAGAATCCAGTATCAATTATAAAAATAAAAATCTTATATTAATTATAGGTTCATAAAAAAAATCATTAATTATAGGTTTGTCCATATAAACCATTAATGTCCATCTCTTTTGTGAGATTGGGTTAAGGTGCAGTGTAGTTTTTGCTATAACATGCTTAAATATAATTAAGCATATACAAGTCAAAATATCAATGCTAGACTTAGAAAAACAAAAATACTGTGTACTAGAAAATGGCTAACAGAAATAATTATATTTAATGAAATGACGGGCTAGAAATTTAATCCTTGTCAACATAAATCACCAAGATATTTTATGAACATTTAGCAATGTAATTATTAAAATTCTTACTTTTCATCAAGATAGTAAAGTCCAAAATATTCCTTTTCTTTGAGGTTGAGATGTGAGGCCACTAAATCCAATAGTTCCTTTGCATACAATTTGGGCTGCAAAAGAAAAAAATAGATTAAAATCAATGAAAAGTAAAATTTACATAAATATTGAACATAGAAAAAAAATAGAGCATTAGAATATGTAAATGGTGACAGAGGGGAAATGTTAAGTCCATCTTGAGTTTAGCACAAGTGGATCATCAAATTTACATTGTTTATGCTTTTCAGTAAAACATTTACATTAAGCTGAATGCTTAAGGACAAGCAAAAGAATACAATTCCTAGTGAAATTTCTTGCTAAAGTTTTTTTTTGTACAATCAGTTTTGGTATTATTAACCACATTGATATATAAAAGGAAACAATGACAATTTAAATTGGAAATTAAGCTGCCTTCACTGTTTTTCCAGATATGAAATAACTCTTCTTACTAGATATCAATTTAAAGTGGTCAAATTATATAAACATTAAGAATGCTTTTTAACCCATTCTAAACTCTTAATAAAGTTATTACTTTATAAATTATCTAAGTGTATTGTGTTAAGTAGTGACAAGTTGTAGAAGCATTCAAGAATTCAAGATAAAAATGTATTCTTCTGTGTTGTGCAAATGTAGTGATTCCATGTGTGTAGTCTTATTAATATTGTGCATTTTCAATTATTTTTTTGTTACATTTTGTAGATATAGTTGATCAAGTTGTTTGTTCAAAGGCAAGGGCTGGCTATTATAACAACATAGCTGGTAATATAGAGGATTATACAAACATGTAAAACACCAAAAATATCTGTGTTCAAACAAAATAGTAAACATAACAAATAATGAGGATAACATATCCTTCGTTGTTTTAAAATTACTATTTGTAATCTATTAGTAAGATTTGCTTAGTTTTTTAAATAAGAAATAATTTTTCTATATTCAACATTAAACAACCTATTTGCAGTTTTATTCCACTACCTTCCATTAATTTGTCTGACAATTTCATAATTCTATCCTCCCAGAAATCTTCATTTTTCTTAATAAAGAACTGCTCTTGTTGCCTGTTTCAGTTTTCTGGGGAATTTAAATATAATTTTAATTATAATAATAGAATTCTGCAAAGACCAGAATAAATAGGTTATCTATTGTGTGTTCTTGCCTGAATTTGTCATGGCTTACAGCCATATCATGTTGAAACACCAGATCTTATATGATCACCATAGTTAAGCAATATTGAGCCTGGTCAGTACCTAAATGGGTGGCTGTTTGGGAATACCAGGTGCTGTAAGGTTGGATTTGCAGGTGGTATAATGGATAACAGCTTGGAATTGGAGAACAAAGTTTCAATTCCAGCTGGGTTTGTTATATTCACTTATGCACAAATATCCTTGAAAAAGGTATGAATCCACCTCTTCTCTCCCCAGCTATGGGTTAATTTGTAGGACTTGTATCAGTAAATCATTATTATCTCCAAAAAATTTCTTAAAATCTAAAAATATTTTATGGCTTTAAATAACCTGCAAAAATCTTTAAAAAACAAAATCAATCAATCTAATTTTTCATAAACCGCCAATAGAGCTTGATTGATAAGAACCTTGATAAATGGGCCCGCTATGTCCAAGCTCGTCATGCATCCACAAAATAGACATAGAATTACCTGTTAGTGGGTTGGTTATACCTACAAGAACTCTATCTGACTATCTGTGAACCTCTGATTAAGAAAAAAAGGGACTCTTAGAAAAGTTCAATCAGCTGAATACAAACATTAGGTTTAAGATTCCAAAATTATACAACTGGCTTATCTAAAGAGACACATAACCTAGTGAATTAAAATATTGATTAAAAATTATTCCCTGACAGTTGTGAGCTCAATTCCTGGGTTTGGTAATGATGAAAAGTCACAAATGGATAAACAACACCAAGGTGAATAAGACCAGTGATTATTAACTGGTTTAAAATATCTTCTAAGCATGGTAAACAGAATGAAAACAACAAAAAATTTGGTTTGAATCTGAGAATCTTAAAGTAGAAGTATGAAAGACAGCTGAAAAGATGAGCATGCTGCACCAAACAGCAAGATTCTTTATATAAAATTTTATTTTATTAGATCTATTAAATTTTTTTTTTTTTAAGCGTTTCACCCCAAGCAAGGCGGAAAGCAACTAGGACGCAAGGGGTTACAGGAAATTTGGAGCAAGGTCAGATAGGAGTGATAGAAGAAAGGATGAGGAGAAGAGTAGTGGATAGATCAACGTAACTGGAGATACAGAGGCCAGCGAGAGAAAGAGAGTACCGGAAACCCCTTCCTAAACAAGAAACAAGGCGTAAGCCTCTACTCATATCCAAGAGAAGGGAGAGGAGTGTGGACTTTCGGAAAAAAGCCTACCTACTCCAAATGAATTATTTATTTTCTGACATTTTCTTATTCTAACGGAGTAGCTTATGACTTTTTCCTGGTTACCAAAAATGATACCTTTTCTCTACATTAATTTAGATGCATTTTTATTAATTGCTGCCTTTGATGGATCTCATTTTCATGTAAACATCTTTTAATAAGTAGAATAGTAATTGGAAAAACCCATAAAACTGGAAATGTTAATTTGTGGCACTCAACTTTGCTCAAGAACTAACTGTAAGCCTTCAGTTCTGTTATTTTCACTAATCCTTATTATACCTACCAAAAAGTACTGAAAACTGAATTTATTTTATGTACTTTCTTCTAAGCTCAATAATTAACTTTTCCTACTAATCTACACAGCACCAAATGAATATTAAAGCTTACACAGGAACAAATACATTCACATTTTTCTTCTTTTATGTGGCAATTTATTTCAGGACATGGGCAATCATGGATCTCCACAACTTCCTGTATTGCTCTTAATAATACATCCCCCTTAGTTCATCTTCTATCCATTCACATAATCTCCTTAAGTAGGTTAATCATTGTTTGCTCCACTTAACTTGTCTTCAATAAGCCTTCTTTTTTCATTAATTGTCCCCAAAATTTAAAGTTTTTCTGGTTGTAATTATAAGTTTCCTTGTTATTCCTATTTTCCTTAAGAATTCCTTGTTGCTAACATGTTCTGTCTATGCTGTTCTTAGCATTTTGTTGGTATAGCTATAAGTTTCTTCTTCATCTCTGAGGAAATTGTCTAATATTCACTGCCACTGGAGATTAGATATTATGCAACAGTTTATCAATTTTCTTTGATGCTAATAGTATTTTCCTATATCTTAATACTTTAGTTTCTACAAGGCACTTCCATTATTCCTATGTGCCTTCAAATTTCTGTGTCACATTTTCCATTGTCTACTCAGTTAAATTTCTGTATTTGCTTGATTTTGACATTCCCAATACACATTGGACTGTCTCTTTTGCTGATAACTATGCATTCTTCTTGCTTTCCATTATTATATTGTTTAAGAGTTCTTCCAGTTTTCTTTCTGTGTTTCTGCTATCATCAACAAAGTGCCATTCACATATGTTGTTAAGATTATATCCACCGATAATAAATCCTGGTAGGTTTTCTCCTCTTAAGATTGTCTTGTATAGGTTTAATAAATCCAGTGAGGAAATATCTTGTTTTACTCCTCTTTCTATTTTTGTGTATTCAGGATGTTTGTTCCCGACTGAAGTTACAGATTACACTAATATCTTTCCTGTGTAAATCAAGCTTTTCTAGTACTTCAAATAGGCCTTTGTGTCATGTCTCATCAAATGCTTTTTGTACAATTTACAAAACATAAGCATAAGTCTTTCTGCATTTGTATTGCTCACTCTGATAGTGTTCTGATCATAAAGATAGCATTTCTTGTTCCAGTATCTTGAACAAAGTCAAACTGTTCTTGTCTTATTTCCAGTCTAATTCTGCTAGAAGTTAAAATTCTAATAAAAAGTTTAGTTATGTAGATTATTAAGCCAATTGTCTGGAGCTCACATATAGTTGCACATGGCTTCTTTAGCATTGTTATGAAGATAGATCTACTGAGGTCTTTCAGTATTTAACTGCTGTCATAATTCATTTACTATTTCAGTAATCTTACTAATTCCAAGGTTGTCTCAGGTGAATATCGCTTTTATAGTATTGCAAATCCATCTGTTGTTTTATTTCTATTGATCTTAGCCAGAGCCAATCTTACTTGTGATTTTAAACTACAGGTCTATTCATATTTTTATAAATTGTAGGTTTCACCTCTGTTATGGAAAAACTATGTATTCATTTTATCTTTGTAAGATCTTTTCTTTACCAATTATGAGCACTTTCTTTTTATATTTATGTATCCTTTCATTCACATTTTTACTGCTTTAGTAAATGCTGGCTCTGCCAAAGTTAGCCATTTTGTAAATATGATTTTTGTTTAGCATTTGATTCAGAAACTCCAGTTTAAAATATATTTAGAAAAGTCTGATTACTGTTCAAAATAACAAAGTTTATGTTACACTAATTTTACAAATGGAAATTCAAGGACTCTTTTTCACCTGTGTAAATAATTGCCAAGTAAACCAAACTGTTGACATATCCCCAACAAACATTGAGTGATTAATTAAAATTGGAGGAAGGAGTTGTACCTTTCTCTAACACTTACCATTCACCAAAAATTAAACCTTTATCAGAAGAGAATGTTTGTAGAATATACTGGTGGTGGGAGGTATTACAAAAATTTATTTTAGAAATGAATAGACAACCTTTTAATTGTAACATGGTTAAGTTTTAATGAAGCAGACATTATCATCTGCTTCTTCGATAAAGCTAAAATAGGATTTTAATATAGAATTGCAACATAAAATACCTTAGAAGTATTTCTGTATTATTAGTGTTAACTTATTTGCCTTTTTTATAATTAATTTTGCATAATCTCAAAAGATTTATGATGCATCTAGTATGCAGGGTGCAGTAAGTATTTGAGAAGACATCTTTAGTTGGTCATAAATGGAAGACAAAACTAATGTAATGTTATTTATCATGTACCAAATTTTAATATACTCATTTCTATTTCTGATGTATCAAGGGCAACAACATGACAGCTTCCAATTATGTGGGAAATGAAAAGCACACTATATTCATGGCATTGGCATGGCCAGATTTTTTTAAATGACCAGATAAGCAAGAGGAATGACAGTTAGCTTTAAATAAACCCTAATTTCATGTCATCCATGATAATTCCAGGGTTTGTGAAAAACAAGGGTAATGTCATACCACCCCAATTATTCTTGCAGGACAATGGAGTCAATGCCACTGCTTACATGGAGATACTAGACACAGAAGTCAAGCAATAGATCAGGGAACATGTGTACATGTTTCAGCAGGATTGTTGGTCCATGTGATTCAGGAGTGGCTAGCAGAAAATTTTCACAATCATCTTACCCCAACTCTGTTTCCATGTAAATCATGTCTACTTCTAGCTCTCCCATTTTCAATCCCCTATACTATTACATCTGTAGTGTCATCAAGATGGAGAGCAACCAGTGTTTGTTTTTTAATTGATCAATTGATTTGTTTTTCTATGGTTTATTAACCATTTGCAGGCTATTTAATGCCAGAAAATATTTTTAGATTGTAAGAATTGTTTTTTTTATTTTTTGAGATATTAATGATTTAGTGATACAAATCTTACTACATAATGAATAACTGAGGTAAGCAAAGGTGAATTCATATATTTTCCAAGGATATTTACGCATAAGTAAATATAATGAACCCAACTGGATTTGGCTCCCCGATTAACAATTCCAAACCATTATCCATTACACCACACACACATCAAAGCTTACAGCACCTGGTATTCCCAAGTGGTCACCCAACTAGGTACTGACTAGGCTCAATAATGCTTAACATTGGTGATTGTACAAGAACCAGTGTTTCAACACTGTGTAACCATAAGTTTTATTTATTGTTTAAGTTGAATGTCTGTACAAATATTTTTTAAAATATTTTTTTCTATAAATATCAAATAAATATATATTACTTAAGCGTTATTTTTAGTGGATACTACTATTCAAGTAGACACTCCATTTATTTATTAAACAGTATGTTTGCTAATTTTCATCTACCAGCCTGAATATTCAAGAAATCTTATCAGTTTAATAAATAAAAAATACATCCCTTTCTTTAGAAATTGCTTTGTTTACATTAGGATATGAACCTGAGCAGATATATCTATTTCAAGAGTCGGAGAAAAATTTATGTTTAAAGGCACTGTTCAACTTTGTTTGATCATTGATGCACTCCATGGCCAAGAGGTCTAAAGCATGTCAAATCTAATGATTGTTTTTTCAAGGGGTATCCAGGTTCGAATCCTGCCAGAAAGCACATATTTTTCTCTAATAGAAATATACACACACTTTGTTTTCAATTAATTGGAGCACCCTGTATAATTTTTTTTGGTTGACCCAACACTATTTGTCTAAACAAGAACAATAATTATCTTTTAAATGAATAAAGAAAAATATTACAAAAAATTATTTTCTCTTCCTCTTCTCTCATTCTTAACATACAAGTAATAAAATAAAAAATAAAAATTCTCATAAAATATTACTTTATTTAAAGTTATAGTTTTTGACAGACTGAACATTTCATTCTTCAAAAGATTATTTCTGTTGCTATATGTAACAGAGAGAGGAATACACATACACAACCACATGAACGCACACACGCAAATATAACTTTTATTGACTGGAAATGGAAACGGCGTTTATATATCAAAGTACAATTTGGGTTAAGATGTGTGTTTACCAATGAGAAACACAATCTCAGGACAGGAGGCAATGTTTTAAACCTGGGTCACTAGTAAACAATGAGGATTGGCGAGATACTTGGTTTTGTTTAACAGTATTTGTTTTGATTAAAAGGTTGAATCAATGTTTAGATATCCAAAAGTATAATTTTGGTGAAGCGAGAACTTGTGATTGAGATAAGGTAAATAATTGGAGAATAGGTTTACATGTCAAGGGATAGTTTTTGGCACTCTTGGTAGCTGCGTGCTAGGCCGAGGGTCAATTGTGATCAGCTGATCCTTTTTCTATATTAACTTGAGATTTTGCTAATAAAGCAGAGTCAGAGAAAGAGACTGTCATCATAGTGAGTCGAGAGATTTGCAGGAAAATTTTGGAGGAGAGAAAGAAGACTGCCCCCTGTTCTGAGAAGTCTGTATGAGACTGGACTATTAGTCATAAACCTACCCCAGGTGATTCAATACGCGTTTATCACACACAAACCCTCTCTCTGTTGGGAATTCACTGGATGCATTTTGTCTTTTTCTTTTCTCATTTATGTTGTTTTTATTCTCCCTGTAACCTCTGTTCTGATGTTATCTTCTTATATAAAAGACGTCAATATTTCCCCCATTGTTGTCTGGCTTCTGCAGATATTATTTCTTGTTTTACTTTGCCACATTCTAAACTTCCTAGTGCCAACTCTCACAGCTGTGTCCACATCTCCAGTCGACTGTGAACGTATGGACAACACCCCGCTTACTGGATCTAAAAACTAACACAGCATGGGCAGCGAGCAGGACTTGACCAGTTGAAATAATTTACGGGTACTCAGGGAGCGTACAGCCAGTTAACCCTAAGTTCGGTTCAGACCGAGTGGACACCTCAACCAAAAGAGAAAGACGCTGGAGGTTGAGGGGCTGGGGACGAAGTGGTAGATATAAAATTTTAGCTCCATTATTATGTACTTTGTTGATTGGTGTAGTAGAATAATATTTAAAAAAATAGTATTTTTCAAATTCATTTTAATGAGATGAGAATTTAAGGGGGGGGGGTTGTGGGCAAAATACTTTGTATGTGTGTTTGCAGGGGAGGGTATCAGAATATTTTTTTAAATAGAAAACTGTAAATATTAATCTCATGAAATCTGACTTTTCAGCAAACTAAAACAAATAAAATAATATTTCCAGTCCTTTTAATAATTCTTTTCTAAGACATTCCTTAACATATATAATCAATAATTCATGATTAATATACTATTTCTTTTTTAAAAAAAAAACAATTAATTTCAAATCAGAATCTGATAAAATTTTTCATTTCTTCAACTTTCCAACTTGGAAAAATTCCAACCATAAAAGCTCAATTCAACATTCCAGAAATCATTTTTTAATAAATAAAAAAAATTTATCAAAAATATGATTCAGTAGTTTTATTAGGTGCATATTAATATTCTGAAAAATGACTAGTCATTGAGAATACAAAAGCACTATACACAACATTATGCAGTATTGTTCTCAAACAAGGAATAGCTTATAAAAATTTAGCATAGCATATAACTTCATTAAACCCAGTTACAATAATCACAATTTATTTTTATTTAATGAAGATTAGGAAATTCTAGAAAACTATTACAAATATCTAACAAAATAATGAAAGGATGTGCTGAGAGGATCACTCATTTAGACACATTACCACCAAAAAAAATGACTTCAACTTAAACAAGACTTAGAATCCACCAGTGAAATGAGTAACCAGACTATATACAACACTAAAAAATAAAACTTTACATATTAATAATAACTGATCAATTTATTTTTCTTCCGTCAGTTACAATAGTGCCATGTGTTTATTAGTTTCTGTTATTTTCAAAGCAAGCAGTTTACTATCTGAATTGTGGATAGGCAATTCAAACAAGAAACAGATAAAACAAAAGGAACTCCGAATTGAAAACAGATTCATAACTGAATTCTTAATATCTTGGTAACATTTTATACAATTATACAAACTGGAAAGAAATGTTAACTTTTAAACTCATCTCACATGTTCCTGCTTTGGTCCTATACAACTGGGACTTGTGACTTGAGCCAATAATGCATCCTTGAACTATGTTATACTGTCAATATCAATAATCATCATATATTTGGCTTAGGTACTATAATCAGTATTATTAATATATGTCAATTCAATTTTCATTATTACATTTTGCAAAAAACAAAATTTTAACTGTTAGAGGTCCTAGTGATTGCCATTTAAAATCAAGTATATATAGATATAAAAATTGTTTACTCTACTTTCATATAAGAAAACACATTATGAAAAATCCATGTTTCTCAGAGATTAAAAGAATAGCACAATAATGTGTAACCACACACACAAAAAGATTATATCTAAAAAAAAAAAAAAATTTTCAGATGTTGGCATGTGATGCCATTATGTCATTGAGTGCATATTTTGTATTGAATCTAAATTGAAAATTATTCCTGATAACACATTTTTCTACTCATCTGCAAATAGATATTAAAAATCCAAAAATGGGTTATCTTCTAAAAAGTTAATTGACAATTTATGATTGAAGATGTTTGAGAAGCTAATCAAAGATTAAAAAAAAGAAGGAAAGTTGACTGTGACCCTATTTGAGACTGATAAACTATTATGAATAATAAGGTTTTTGGATAGCAAGACTGATATACTAATAAACTATCATGAGAAATACCAGAAGATTTTATTTTCCTGCAAAACCCAAATTTCTAAACACTCAATTTTACAACCGGCCATATGGTAGATAATTTTGACATTTGATAGATGACCTCTTGTTATGGGCACTGGCAGTGAAACCAGTTAAGATTTGGAAAAACTTATTGCAGAGATAAAGGTATTTCTTTGGAGAGTGTCTCTGGCCTTGGAGAGGACCATCTGTTTTTTGTTCAACTGTAAGACCAGGAAAAACCAACACTGGTGACAGTTGCTTATGAGGTAATAAGCCTGGAATAATAATTCTTTTAATTAATGAACTTGAAATTAGTCTTCACTGGGTGGTTGAGGTGACAGGTGCAGATGAGAAACCAAGGATGGTGCTAACCCTTTGAAACCACACAAAATTGCACCCAACAAAGAGTGACAGGCGCAGAAGAGAAATCAAGGAAATTGGAGAAGTTTCCCATGCCCAATGAAGAGTAGCAAGTGCAGAGGAGATACCAAGGAAGGAGGAGGAGCTGCCCACGCCCACGGAGATGCTAAAAAGAGAAGGAAGAAATTTTGGGACGGATTAATGCCTACAACCCATCAACAAAAAAAAAAAGGAGAGATTTCCAATTTAGGAAGTAATTAACTCCCAGAACTCAAGCAATAGAGAAGGGGTTCAAAGAAAAACAGGTATAGAAAATGTTGGATACCTAGCCACCTCACACCCCCACAACAGTTTTGGGCGAGCATCAATAAATACAAATCCCTTGAGGCAAGAAACAGAGATCATCCTGGGTATTGTTCCAGTCACCAGACAACACATGTGACCATCTGCCAACAAGACCTCTGACATCAGCCTTGTGCCACACTTGACCAAGCCAGCAAAAGGAACTTTGCCAAAATCACCAGTGTCACATTCAATTAGAAACAGGTTGGGTCAAGAATTGAATGCATGCAAGCTTCTACATTTTTAACCAACTATTGTACAAAGAACTGGATATAAAAATAGTGTATATATTTTTACATTATTCAGATATTTTTTTTTCTCCTGTGCTTTCACCCTGCTTGGACCAGCCCGATACAGGGATACCTTCGACGATTCGATTTTGGCCTCCTTATGATCAAAATCAAATAAGGCAGTTTCAGGATTGAAGCCATTACTTCATTGAGCTGTGGTATTGGATGTCTTGGACAACTAGAGAGGGTTGAGGGCGACATGACTATTTGTTTAAAATTTTTTTATTAGTGATATATTCCTGTGTATAATGAATTAGCGTTGGTTGTAACTCGTTGTGGCTTATCGTGACAGTATCAAATAGAAATAAATATTAAATTATCTATTGTGATGCAGGAGTCTTATTTTTTAAGCATTTCTTTGTTTTTAATATAGAAAACCAATGGTTTTTTTTTTTAAATTTTTCATTCCTAATTTTCTGAAAATATCAATATGGTCATATAGAATTGAAAATTTTTCAGA